CAGAACAAGACGTGCTTCATTGTGACACCATTTTTCCTATCAACTCACATTTTGCCTGCTGCCCTTTTACATCTCCTGATTCTCTTTCCAGCCAGATATGCCACTTTCTGCCTCCCTTCTTCCCTATCACTTGTTGCATTTCCTTCTGCTGCCTTTGGAAACCCTCAGTTTAATTAAATAATTTCTAATTCTCAGGAATGCTTGCAGACTCCTCTATCTTGATATCCCTGATCATCTCCTAAGGGTTAATTTACCTCACCTAATTTCAGATGCCACTGAACTGCTCCGGATGCAGCAGCAAACAGCTTTTGGAGCAGCTGGTGGGGGGTTGTCTGGAGGTGGTGCTCCTGCAGAACTCATGGGAGCTTTATATTCCCTTGTTATTTACTGGGGTAGCAAGACAAACCTTCCCCAGGTCAAGATACATCCGCTCATCCTCTCAGAGTAGAAAATAAAACTCACTTGGCATGATTTATTCTTGTCAAATTCACATTGGCTGGGTTTTACTACCTTATTAACCTCTGGGTGCTTATAAACTGATTGTTTGATAATTTTAACAGTATTTTCCTGGCTACTGGAATAAAGCTGTTGGATCTCTTGATTCCCTCTACTCTCATTTCTCTCCTTCCCACACCCAGGCACAGTGTTTGCCTCTCTCCAGTCCTCCTGTGACAACCCCTGAGGTGCCAAACTTTACCCTTCCCACTTCACAGCTACTCTTGCTCAGGTTTCTTCAGGCCCTCAAAATACATCACTCTTGATTCCTCTCACCTTTTAACCTGTTCTTGCCCTTCACTATATCTGCTCCTTTTTTTTTTTTTTAAGTTAATTTCACTTGCTAATCCTTTTCTGAAGGGTGGGGGAAAAAAAAAAAAAAAGAAAAGATAGGTATTCTGTGGTTTCCATTATTTGGATTTCCATTCTATTTTAGGTGGTGGAATATTACATTAATCATATTATATTATATTGTAGAGTATTATTTTTATAGAAAATTCATGGACTTACTCCATCTTTCATTTTTCTTTTGCTTTCATAAATGGCCTGGATTGGTTTTTACATCCCTTATCATAGAATCATAGAATCATAGAATAGATTGGGTTGGAAAAGACCTCCAAGATCATCAAGTCCAACCCCTGATCCAACTCTAATTACTATATCATGGCACTAAGGGCCATGTCCAATCATTTGAAATCAATTTGACGTCTTGGCTTTTCTGATTTTGTGCTTATGCACATGGCCTAATATTTAAGTTAATTTGTCTTAGGTATTGTTTCCTTTAATGATTCCTTTGTTAAATCCTACTTCTCGCATAAGTGCTTACTTGGTCTGTTTTTCTTATTTTGTTGGGTGTTTTTCAAATCATAGAAATACAGAATGGTTTGGGTTGGAAGGGATCTTGAAGATCATCCAGTTCCAACCCCCCTGCCATGGGCAGGGACACCTTGTACTAAACCAGGTTGCCCCAACCTCTGTCTCAACCTGGCCTTGGATGCTTCCAGGGATGGGGCAGCCACCGCTTCTCTGGGCAACCTGTGCCAGGGTCTCACCAGCCTCAAGGAAAAAAATTTTTCCTAATATCCAATTTAAACCAGCCCTCTGTCAGTGTGAAACCAATCCCCCTTGCCCTGCCACTCCAGGCCCTTGTCCCAAGCCCCTCTCCAGCTCTCTTGGAGCCCCTTTAGGCCCTGGAAAGGGCTCTCAGGTCTCCCCAGAGCCTTCTCTTCCCCAGGCTGAGCCATCACAGAGCTTTGGAGGGCCTGACCCTGAACACATGAGGGTGCACATTCACCCTAGGAACTTTTCCTGCTTGGAAAACAGCTCTGCATCAACACAGGCTAAAATCCACAGCCCCAAAGGAAAATTTCCCTGAGGAAAATAATTGGTTGAGGTGTGGCAGCTGGGGGTACTGATGAAGAACGTGGGTTCAGCTGCTCCACTGGCTGCAGTTTTTCCTGCTCACAACCACTTCGGGCAGACACCCACTTTTGAATACTTTTTATACTGGGTAGAAACAGGATCCAGTGCCTCTCTGTGCACTTGAGAAGAGATGGAAAACCCTGGGGAAAAACAAAACAAAACAAACAAAAAAAACCAAACAAACAAAAAACCCAAACCAACCAACCAAACAAAAAAACAGGGATCCAGTTGCGGGGCTTCTTATTTGCCAAATTAATATAGAATAATTTAGTAGCCAGAGTTCCCAGACTCCACCTCAGAAACAGCTGAGCCTTAACGACTTTTTGCATGGGTTCAGAAAGTGCAAATATTTTGAAGTGCAAATCGTGCTTTTGATAAAGCAAAACTGTGGTTTCACGGGACAGTGTGGAGCAGGATATCTCCCTCTTCCTGCACGGAGGGCTGAAATCAAGGGCGTTCTGTTTATTGCCCTCTTATATAGAAAACACCCGAGTGTTTTCACACATGTGAGGCTCTGTAAACCCATCAGCACCTGGAAATAAGCCTTCAGATAACTTTGTCCTGCTGATAAAACAGCTGGGAGGAGTCACCATTAATTGAGCTAGAGGAAAGGGGAGAGGGCACCACTGGCTCAGAGGCAGCCTTTGGAAAATTGTTCTCTTGGGCAAGTCCCTGATGCGTCATAGATACCATCTCTTACAGATAATTTGCAGGTTACTCATAGAAACTGAAATTTTGTTTAAGAAGTATCAGTCTTGATTAAATGTCTTTTTTTCCCCTTTATTTTCACCAATTGCTGTGCTGTTCCTGGGAAATAGAGTCCAAGGCAATTCCCAGGAGAAAAATTATCATCCAGCAATTCTTGAAAATGGTTCTTTAGCAGCAGCCTAGGAAACCTGAGAAAATGCAAAAAGTTAGAACCTGAGTAAATCTGTGTTAAGATGAGTATTTGCTTAATAGATACTTCCACATACAGTGTGTTCAACTGGCTTATATAAGAGTATCAACTTTAATATTTGATTTAGAGTTTAATATAAAGGCAACTGACTGCAAAACACAATCAGATTTACCAACTCAGGGGAATGAGCCTTTTTATGAAACTAACAATTACCCATATAAAATCAGCTGAAAGTGAGTTAGTGAGATGAAACTTCCACCTTCCTGACTGAACTCGTGATTAAACCGTGATTAAAGTCAGTGAGCTAAATGAACATCTATCAACCCGAAATTCAATTCACACTTTAAATAAAAAGGGAGGGGACTGTTTTCCATGAGGGTTATTTCAGCGGTGTGGAGTTGGCACATTGGTACCAGGGGATGTGTTGGCTCAGTTGAGGGGCTGGGGAAATTCAGTGCTGGCAGCTGGAGGAGGATCAAGCCTCCAGTCCAAAGTGCCTGGCACTAATGACCTCCCCAGGACAGGGGATTCCCAAGTCCATGTATAGCACAATTCCCTCCTGTGTTGTAAACTGAATCTCCTTGGGAAGCAGGCCAGCTCCCACGATTTTCTTGTCTCATTTACCGCTGTTTTTAAGGCCATTGCTCAGAGTCATGTGTTGTGATGAGATTTGCAGCCTCTTTGGTTTTGTAACTAAACACAAGCTCTCACCCTGCAAAGTCAGGGAGGAAAACTCCAGTGCATGACCTGAGTGGTTCTTAAAATGGTCTCAGGTACATTGTAAAAAGAGAAAAAATGAAACCTGACCTCTAGGACAGTAAAGAGGAGTGGGAGCCACATTACACAGAGTGGCAAAAAAACCCAGGTTTGAGGATGCAGTTTGAGAACCTGACCCCATCAGCAGACCCAAAATCCCACTGGGACTCCACCCAACTCAGCACTCTAAATCTTGCTGGGACCCTCTCCTGTCTGGTGCCTGAAACCTCACCCGGACCTCTGTACCCCAAACCCACTGTGATTTCCCAAACCCAACACATCCCTCCTTAACCCCTCAACTTGACCCCCCCATCTTGACCATGATTCCTCATCAACCCTCCACAACCAAGCATTCCAAACCTTGCCAGGACCTCTCCAGCCAGGGCAACCCAAACCCTGCTAGGACTTCCCCATCTTGGCACCCCAAACACTTCTGGGACTCTCTCAGCCCAGCATCTCAAACCCCAACAGGATCCCTATCCACCCTTCCCTGTTCAGCACTGCTTTCCTCATCAGGACTTCTCTAACTCAGCACTCCAAACCTCAGCACAATTTCCCCAACCCAGCACCCCAGTCCCCAGCAGCACCCCCATTTCCATCCCCATCCTCATCTCCATATGCATCCCCACTTCTATCTGTCTCCATCTTCATTCCCATCCCTGTCCCATCCCTATCTCCATCTCTGCCCTCATGCTCATTCACATTCACAACTGTCTCCCTCCCTATTGTATCCCCACCTCCAACCCCCTTCACATCCCTGTCTTTGCCTCAGTTTCCATCCTGATCCCCACCTTCATCTCCATCCCATCTCCAACCTCATCTACATCCACATCCCCATCCCCACCCTTATCCCAATGCCCATCCCCATCCCTGTTTCCATCTGAACCTCTGTCCCCATCCTCATCTCTGTCCCATCCCCATGCCTGTCTCCATCTCCATCTCTATCCCCATCTCCATCTCCATCTCTTTCTCCATCCTCATCCCCATCCCTATCTATCCCCACTGCATCCCCATCTCCAACCCTTACGCATCTCCATCCTCATCCCCATATTGATACCCGCTCCCATCTCCATCCCCAACCCCATCTCCATCTGCCTCCTTCTCTGCCCTCATCCTCATCCCTGTCTCCATCTCCGTCCCTATTGTATCCCCACCTCCAACCCCTTCAACAACCCCATCCTTATCCCTGTCTTCACCCCCATTCCCATCTCCATCCTCGTCCCTGTCCCCAACTCTCGCTCCGACCCCGTCCGCTTCTCTCCCATCCCATCCCACTCTCCCCTCCCCATCCCGGTTCCCCTCCCTCCCCGCCCCGCCCCGAGTGCTGCCGGCGGGGCGGTCCAGGGGGCGGGGGCGGCTCGGGGGCCGCCTTTGTGCGCGGCGGGGCCGGAGCCGGGACAGTTCCGCACTGCTCCGCTCCATCCCATCCCGTCCCGCTCCATCCCACCCCGCCGGGCCATGGCCGCCCCCCGCCCGGCGCACGGCTGCGGCAGCGGGGCTCTGCTGGGGCGCTTCGGGGTGCTGCTGCAGGCGCTGCTGGCTCTCTGCGCCTTCAGCACCCTCATGCGTGAGTACCGGGGGGCTCGGGGGCACCCCCTGCCCGCGGGGGGGACCGGGGGGACCCGCCGTGCATCGGCGATGCTCGGTGGGGTGGGCGCCCCTTCGCTTAAAATCACCCAAGTTTTGTGCGTTGACTCCCCCGTGGGATTGCGGGTGGATGTTCCCGAGCCGGCAGTTGCAGCGCCAGATGCTCCTTCTTAGAAAAAAAAAAACAACAAACACTCCTTCCCCAGCCCTAATCTGATGGTAATGAAGCACCGCGAACGTGCGGCGATAATCTGCTAAAATTGGCTGCGCTTGTGCGAGCCGGTGCTCAGTCGCTCAGAAAATTTTAATGAAGGGTGAAAACTATTGGTGTAACCCTGGGAGTTGCTGGGGAGGGGCTGACAAAAACGGGGCGGGTGTCCCGCTACGGCGCTGCTGGGTGAGGGTGATTTAACTGCGTTGTGATGCTGTTTTGTTTAGTTTCGCTTCAGCTGCAAAGTTTCCGGGCTTGAGAGGCTGGGGAAGGAGTTTACAGGGAGAAAGTGTTTTGCTGGTTACTGCCAAGGAGGGTAGAGAGAGAAAACAGCTGAGGAGGGGATAAAATCACGCGGGTTGTGGTTTCCAGGAGCAGAGGGAACGGCCTCGAGTTGCACTAGAGAAGATTTGAGTTGGATATTAGGAAAAACTTCTTCCCCGAAAGGGGAATTGGAGCAGGCTGCCCAGGGCAGTGGTGGAATCACCATCCCTGGAGGGATTGAAAAGGCATGTAGATGTGGCACTTAGGGATGTGGTTCACTGGTGGACTTAGCAGTGCTGGGTTAATGATTGGACTCGATGATCTTGGAGGTCTTTTCCAAGCTCAGTGATTCCGTGATCCTGTGAAAAGGTGGGGAATATTAATGCTGAAAGAGCCGAGAGAATTTACTGTTGTTTTGTGCTGCAGCTGCGTTTTGCGTTTTGCTCAGAGCAATGTGTGTGTTGCTACTTTTTAGGGTTAAGTGGTTTAACGCAAGTTGAAAAACACGCCAGAACTCGATCTGTTTTTCTTGTTTGAAAGCCTGTGGTGACAGGGAACTGAAACTTTCAAGTCTTCTGGCTAAGTAGCTGCAGATTTTGAGGTTCTCTTGCCCCTCTCTGCCTTCTGGAAACCACTTTCAAAGGCTCCAGCGCTGCGGTTAACGCCGGGCTGCCAGGGAAAACTGCAACATGTTCTTCCCAGCGATAACTGATACTATTTTCCAGCTGGAGAAGCCCAGTTGTAACATGTCACTGCTTGTGTTTCACCAAATATTGACAGTAAGAACAGATTGATCTCTTTTTCTGTTCCTGTTCCCCTTGGTGATACGTGCATACGGGTTAATTGCCCCGTAAACTCCGTGGGGTGTCTCATAAAATCAAGGATGCCGGTAAATCATGTCAGAATGCCTCCTAGCAAATCATCAACCCTGGGCTAACTGCTGTCCTCCCCCTGCTGCAGGGGCTGATATTTCCTTGAACATTAACAACATCTTGGTTAATGAGGAGAAACCGAAAGCTGATTCTGCGGTTTTGTTGTGAATCAGCTCGGTGACTAAAGCTGTGGAGGAACTGCTGGCTGGGACCCCAAAAGCAGATGTGTTTACAACCCTGGGATCCCAACCACAGCACCTCCTCTGGCTGCAGCTGGGCTGGTGGTCCCTAATCCACCCCATCTGGGTCTTATCTGTGCCCCTGTCACTCCCAGCCAGAGGCTTTCTTGGATCTGCTCTTGGGCTGTTCCTGTGCTGACTCCTAACCCATAATGCTTGTACTGGGCTTACCAATGGCCTTGAGCTGGGCAACACCTTGCAGCTTTTGGGCTATTCCTGTGGCCCATTGGGTTGGCAGCCTTCTGGGAGGGAGAGGGCTCCAGCCTTTGGGAGGTATAGAAGTGTCTTGAGCTGAGTAAAAGGATTCCTGGGAACCTCGATTGCGTCTCCGTTGCATCCAGCCCAGCATCGAGTCAGGTGGTCCCACCTGGATGACTGCATCATCTAGAACTCAGGATGCTGCTGTCACTGGTGTCAGCCCTTCTCTGGTACTTCTTACTTCAGTACTGTGACATTCCTGGGTGTGTGTTTCTGTTGTGTTTATGACTGATTTCTGTTTTACTGGCATGTTGCAGGACAGTTTGCTCAGACCTACAGGTCAGGGAGTGGAAACAAGGTCAGTAAGGGTGGGAAGGCATTGGAACAGGTTGCCCAGAGAAGCTGTGGCTGCCCCATCCCTGGAAGTGTTCAAGGCCGGGTAGGATGGGGCTTGGAGCAACCTGGACTAGTGGAAGGTTGGAATTAGGTGGTCTTTTAAGTCCCTTCCAATGCAAACCATGCTATGAAATTCCTGACCAAACCCAAGCCAATGCCCTTTCTATTCCTTCTATATTAAAGCAGCAGCTCAGCTATAGGAGCACCTGAATTTGAATAAATAAGACTTCCAAATTGTGTGGCTACTGCTCAGAGCACTTGAAAACACTGAGAGGAACTCAGACTAAAAATAAATGTTGTGTTCTGTGAAGCTTTGCAGGTGTGTGCAGGGAGTGTGCTCAGAGTACTCATGATGTGGGTCCCAGGCATAGGAAGGATAAATTTTTAAGTTTTTTGCCAGAAGAGTTTGTGTCCTTGAATTTGTGTTCCTTGGAGCTGTGGACAGGTTTTTCTCCAGCCAACCTTATAGGAAAACCTAACGAAGGAGAAAGTTAGACTTCAGTGATTGAATGAGACGAGTGGGGTGGTTGCAGTGGGGTATGTGAAATGGGTCCTTTATGCGGTGAAAACAGAACCCAGAGGTAAATGCTAAGGAGTCAGGAAAGCTATTTAGCAGGTTTATATCAGTCTGTCGACTACCACGAGCAGTAGTGATGACAGAATTCATTTCAGCCTACAAACACTCTCTTGCTTTTCCAGCAAGAAGGTCTTCAAGGTTGTAGCCAAGCCTAATTCCCGTACGGTCCAAGGCTTGCTCTGGTTGCAGCTTTGCCTCATTTGGTAATCAAATGGCAATGAGGTGTTACCCTTCCCACCTGCCTGGGGTGGCTTTGGAGGCCCTTTGGCTGTAAGGGCACTTGCTGGGAGAACTGAGAAACCAACACTTGAAAGCAGAGGCAGTGAAGTTCAGCAGCTGCGCAGTTGTGGCAATCTGGATTCCTGTGCAAGAGCTTCCCCTTGGGGAGGTCACGACACGGGGGAAGTGTGGATAGTTGTGCAGTCCCATCTGAAGTGCTTTGTAATGCTTTGCCCTCAGCATCACTCAGCAGAGTGCAGAGAGCAGTGTTGCAGTTACCTCAGGTGCAGAGGCTGGCTGTGATTCTTTGAGGGCCAAGTTCCTACAGTTGCTGCTGTTTGTTTAAAATTTTATTTAGGAAGGGTCTGTACGCTAGCAAAAGTTATCCAGGTCTGCACACTGGACAGCAAAATCCTTTGAAAAATGAGGGGAGATATTCTGTACAAATTGTAGCCCTTTTTTTTGTGAATTAAAGTGGAGTGCACAAGAAACAGATTTTGGGAGTTGAAGAATCTTTGCCTCCATTGTAAATGGAAAAGGTTTTCTTTGGAGCTGGCATACCTACTTTCTACCCCACCACAAACAGTGGGGAGGACATGTAAGAACATTTATTTCTCTTCCAAATTCCTGTCTTCCTGAAACTGTCTTGGCAACCTTCTGAGCTCCAAGAATGAGGTTTAGCAGAACTTGTGCTGTAGGTGTGAAAATAGACTTAGGTCTAGGAGAGTGTTTATGCTGCCAGGCAAGTAGAGCTGCACTGGACTGAGCTCCACAGTCCACTTCACACAGTGAAATTTGGTTTTCAGCTTATCTTTTGAAAATTTCTTGATCCTGCCTCATGTGACAGCAGTGTCCCTCTATCTGCTCCTGCTGGATACACTTTTAGTCTAAACAGACAGAGTTGTTGGCGATGGGGACCCTGGTGCTGATCCTCCAGGCAGGACTTGCTGATGGAGATGCTCTGTCAACACATGGGATGGTGTTTCACCCAAGTAGCTTGTCCTGAGACAGGACCACAAAATAGGAGTTTGCCAGACTTCCTGTTAAAGAAGTAGTGGCTCTGTGGTAGAAAAGAGTTGTTAAAGAACATCAGAACTATCCCCTTGCTCTGTGGTCTGTGTTTCCTGGTCTCTGGTCTCTGTGGACTTACCAACTAACCTTTCAGTGCATTTTTCTCCTGGATTACGGGCAATTGGTTAGTGAAAATGGGAGATAGCATCCTTGGGTATGGAAGTGTCTGAAATTTGAGTGGAAGGCTGTGGTACTGATCTCCACTGGATTCTTAAGCCACCTCTTGTGACTTTTTAGTAGGCCCTGTGGTGATAAAACAAGGGGTAATGGTTTTAAACTAAAAGAGGATAGATTTAAAGTAAATATAATGAGACTTTTTTTTTACAGTGGGAGTGCTGAAACACAGAAACAGGCTGCCCATCCCTGGAAACATTCACAAAGTCACACTGGGTGGTGCTCTGAGCAACTTGGTGTAGTGGAAAGTGTACCTGCCCATGGCAGGGGGTTTGGACTAGATGTCCTTTAAAGGACCTTCCAACCCAAACCATTCTGTGATCCTGCCCCAGTGCTAAGTTCAGGCTTGTTTGAAGTACACAGTTTGAATTGCTGCACTGTTCCTGTGCTTCAAAAGTATCCTGAGTGACTTCTGGTTTGTGTTTTGATTTTTACACTGAATATATAAAGGTGGGTGGAAGTGTGAGTCCGTGTCAGGAAAGAGAAGAAATAAATGACAGAGCACTTGATCTCTCCAGACTCCTGTTCTGTTTTGAAATAAATCTGCTCCAGACACAAGAGCACTACAGGCTTACTGTGCCCAAGACAGGCTCTGCTGACTTTGCTTCCTCTCACACAAGTGTGTAATTGTGAGCGATTTTGGTTATTCTCACACATATGTACTTAAATTCCAGCTTCACCCTTGTAAGTGTGTGCTTTTCCCTCTCGGGAAGAACAAAGCCCCAGAGGTTAACTGTGCCTCTGGCAGAGAGCTTTGCT